TGGCACCTGCAGGGCCCCTGCCAGGTGTGCCGAGGGAGAGAGCAAGCGCCCCATCCTCCATCGCTGCCGCTCTGCCTCTTGCTGCCAGGGTCTGTTCTCTAAAGATTCATGGCGTTACCTCTCCCCTTTGCTTTTGCCCACACCCTGAAGAATTGCTGCCACCAACCTCATTAAAGGTGGAAAGGGTGGAGGACACTGGTGTGTTGATTTCTTGGCACCCACCTGAGGACGCAGCCGCCAGGCAACTCATTGACGGCTACGCCGTGACGTACGTATCCCTCGACGGCTCTTACCGCAGGACAGATTTTGTGGACCGAAGTCGTTCTGCCCACCAATTGCGGGCACTAGCCTCCGGCAGAGCCTACAATATTTCTGTCTTTTCAGTCAAACGCAACGTGAACAACAAGAATGATATCAGCAGGCCCGTCATGCTCACCACACGCACTAGTGAGTAGCATCCCCGGGGGGATCGCGGTCGTGAGCACGCGTGGTCCCCACAGGTGCCAGGGCTTGTGCCGCCTCCTCCCCACCACCGGCTCCAGCTGCAGCCCGGGCCTGTGCCGAACCCCGGTGCGTTTGGTGGTGCAGATCCTAAAATCCAGCTGGGAGCCTTTGAAAAGTGCTCGGCACAGAGAATTGCTGTTCTCTTTGCTGTGAGTAAAAGGGGACCGAACCCTCTGCAGCTCACCGGGCCCCTGCTCAGGGGCTGGTAAGGCAGCCGGCAGCAGGGGCTGTTCCTGGATCCTATTCATCGGGGCCAGGCTGCACCTGTCGCACCAGTTACTCCTTGTCACTGGGCCCAGGGTAGCGCAGGTCCCCAGTGCTGCTTGGCTGAGCTAGAGAAGCCCCCATGCCAGCTGGGCAGCGGGGCTGAGTGATCTCTGCTGACAACGAGCCCCATGGGTGAGTTGCCTCACCATCCCACCGGGCTTGGTGTGGGGATGTGTCAGAGAGGGCAGAGGCTGGCAGGGACCTCTGCTCCATGGGCACAGGGAAGGAGGCACAGTGATGCCTCTGTAGGGGCATGGGCAGGCGGAGAAGCTGCAGTCCCACTTTCTATGGCAGGTGGATGTAGAAATCAAGTGCAAACTGAGGATAGAGGGGATTAGACCTAGAAAAGCTGCCCTCTAATGAGAGGGGGATGGTGGCAGGAAAGCCCATAGACCATATCCCCTCCCCAGTGGGCTGAGACCAAGTGAAGCCCAGGGGAGGAGAAGGCAGGTGTGGCACTGGGCACAGCAGGGGTCTGTGCCCCTGGCCATGGCATGTCGGGAGGCCTCGAGCCAGGGCAAGATGCTGGGGGCAGCGAGAACCAGGCTCAGGATGGCCGCCTGGGGCATGCAGTGAGCTTAGGGCCAGGCACTGCAAGCCCTTTGGAGCTGGTGGGGGGGGCTGGGGCCAGAGGAGGACAGCCCCAGGGATGCGGCGGATGGCATGAGGCCTTGCGGGCAGGCAGATGGATGTGCCTCCCACCTGCCCACAGGTGGTGAGGATGGGAGAGCACGAGTCTGGCAGGGCAGGGGGTGCTGTGCTGCTCCTGCTGGGGAAGCCAATCCAGAGGGGCAGGCAGGACACCCCTTGCTGGGGCGTGGGGAAGGGACAGAATGACACATGATGACAGAAGGCTGACCGCAGCCCTCTCCACTTGCTCTGGCCAGGACCACGTCCGGTGGAAGGCTTTGAGATCATGAACGTGACGGCCAGCGCCATCACGGTGCAATGGGCTCTCCACCGGCTCAAGCACTCCACTGTCAGTAGGGTGCGTGTCTCCATCCGCCAGCCGGGGGACCTGGCAGACCGCACCGTGGAGCTGAACAGCAGCGTGGCCAAGTACACCTTCCTGTGAGTGGGGTGGCATGCGGGCACCAAGCTAGCTGGCCCTCCCAGGCTGTCCGCTTTACCACTTCCCACCTTACCTTCCTCCTCCACAGGGACCTGCAGCCAGGAGAGAGGTACATTGTCCATGTCACGACGCTGAGCGGCCTGGGGACAGAAGACCACCCCTCAGAGAGTCTGGCAACAGCCCCCTTCCACGTGTGGACGAGTGAGTGGGCTTGCCTTCACCACCCTCCGCTGCTGCAGGGGCGCGGGGGCTGGGCAGGCACAGGGCAGCCACAGCTTATGGCTAGCAGGAAAGCTGCAGGGAGGGGAAGGTGCGAAAGCCGTCAGCCTGTCTGGCCAACATGGCAGGTAGGAGGCATGCAGGCAGCCCTCAAGAAGGGCAGGCAAGGCCCCGGCACATCCTCCCCTGCCAGATGTTGTTCACTGCCGAAGACCAGCATGAGCTCAGACCCATGTGGGGCCTGTACGCAGGCCTGATTCATCCCCTGCTGTACGGCAGCTGGAGGGCAAGGGCCAGACCTGGGTGCCAGGGTGCAGTGAGGCTCTGCCCCCCTTGCCAGGGACCTAGTGCTGAGTATCTCCTCCTAGTGCATTGCACGGCTGGAGCTGAGCTGAAGGCTGGCCAGGGCATGGTCAGGCAAGCTGGGGCCCTGGCACGCTTATTAGATGGCATGTGAGCAAGTAAGCTGGCTGCCATTCAAGGGCACCAGCGCTGACCCCTTTTCTCCCCACCTCCTGCCTGCCCCAGGGCCTCTCCCCCCAAAAAACCTCACCGCCTCCCGCGTCACTGCCACCTCCGTGTCCATGGCGTGGGAACAGCCGCCTGCCGGTGCCGTGGAGGGGTACATCATCAACGTCACCACCGCTCAGAGTGTGAAGAGCCGCTATGTACCCAACGGGAAGCTTGTGTCCTACACGGTGCGGGACCTGCTCCCTGGGCAGCGGTACCGCCTGTCCGTGACGGCTGTGCAGAACACAGAGCAAGGCCAAGTGCACAGTGAGCCCATCCACCTCTATGTCACCACCTGTGAGTGCCTGGCTTGCCAGGGCTGGGGCGTTGCCAGTTTGCTGCAGCACAAGGGAGGCAATGGGCTAACGGGGAAGCAGGGCAGGGGGGTAGGAAACCAGCTGACCAACAGAGTAATGAGCCCATGGGGACTTGCTGCCCCAGAACTGGGTGCCCGCAGCAGGCTGTGGTGGCAGGATGTGGTCCCCTGCAAAGGGAGGTGGGGGTTGCAGGGTGCTGCCGCCATTAGCGGAGGGCAGATGCAGAGTTACAACTCAGTGATGCTTCACGGGGACCAACACTTGTAGGTTGGTCTCCACCAGGCATATGGAGAGTGTGCGTGTGTCCCTAGACAGCCCTAAATGGCAACCTGGGGACGAGGGGACTGGCTGGGAGTTGGGTTGCTGTTCTGACTCATGGCCTGCCTCCTGCTAAGCCTAACCCTTTGGTCTGCAGTGCAGAGGGATGGAGCTCCGGAGGGACGGTGGAGCCAAGCTGGACACCCCCGGGTCCTGCGCAACAGGCTGCCCCCAGCTTTCCTGCCCGAACTGCGCTTGCTAGCGGATCACGACACAGTTGAGGAGCTCTCGCCAGCCCCCAGGTAGGTGCTGCCCTGGCACTCCTGGCTCTTCCACTAGTGCTCGGCCCAAGCATTGGGCTGAGCACAGCCCCTTTTCCCAACTCTCGTGTCTGGATGCGCACAGGGTCAAGCCATGCTCCTGCTGGGTTGTGCTTCTTGCCCACCCACTGGGGTCCTGAGCCAGGCAGGCCCTTGTCCTGTGAGCAGGTCCCTGCCCGCAGCTGAGCCCATGGGACTCGCACCGAGCCTGATGCTGCCAGCAAGTGTTTTATCCAGCTGCCTCCAGCCCTAGCGCATGGGATGGCTGTGGCCTGGGGGGACCCACAGTGCCCTGTACCCTTATGGCTCTCCTGTCCCAGGTTCACCGAGCTGGTGGATGGCAGAGGGAGGATCAGCGCCAGGTTCGGCACTGCGCTGAGCAAATCCATCACTGTGAAGACACGTAAGTGCTTTGCTGCCTTTCTGGCCCTTGTCCTGTCAACCAGTGCCATCTCCTATGCCTCCCCCCAGGACAGGGTGGCAGCCGGGCAGGCTGCTGGAGAGCTGGGAGAGCTGCAGAGGAGGGCAGGGCCCTCACACCTCTCCCTGGGCAGTCGAACATCTGCCCTGCTCACTAGACCCCTGCGTAGGGAGAAGGGTGACACAGGGCTGGTCAGGGAGTGCAGAGAGGGACCCTCAGTGATGGGAGGCGATGCTGGCTGCAGCACGGTCAGTGGGAGCCCAGGCAGCGACCCTGCGGCCCTCCAGTGCAGCCCCTACCTGCCCAACAGCCTGAGCCCCCACCACCAAGCACAGCCTCACACTTGAGGAGGGCGCCTGGGCAAGAAGCCCCTCACTAGCCCAGGACCAGTCCCCACTTGCCATCCCTGGAACACCAGGGATACAAGTGCCAGCCCCAGATACCCTACGAGGCCTGGGAACCCCTGCGCCATGGGGTGGAGAAGGGGCCTGGCACACCTGATGGCAAGCCTGGGCTCACTGCTTATCTTGGCTCTGCCCCTGCCTCCCTAGGGCTCTGTGTCCCACAGCCCTCCAGGAAGGGTGAGGTGGTCACCTTAATTCTAGGGGTGCCAACTGGGAAGGGCTGACCCCACTGCCTTAGGCCTGACCAGCCCCCTGAAGCTGCGGGCAGGCTGGATCCTACCAAAGGGGGCTGCTTTTGGGTCTGGCCCCAGCATGGAGGTGACATTTGACCCTCTTGTTGCCCAGAGCCGGAGGCTCCAGTGAAGCTGGAGAACGTGGAGGTGTCAAGCCAGGGCAGTCTGGCACTGCAGCTGCGTGACGCAAAGAGCAAGAGTAAGTCCGGGAGGAGACACATGAGCAGCAGGGACCCAGCCCAGGGCCTGCAGGCAAGCAGAGTGCTTGGCACCAGCCTGTTCTCCTTGTTGCTGCCCTGCTGGGAGGCACACAAGGGGCATGGCATGGGTCCCTGCTGGCTGCTCCATCCCTGCTGGCTGCTCCATCCCTGCTCGCCCGCTCGCAGCTCTCTGGCATGCCGGGGGCGGGGGGGGGTGGGGCGGGGTGCACTGTGCCCCCGGGGTCTGACAGCTATACATGTTTTGCAGGTGAGGGGCAGAACTGCTCCACAAACCCCTGCAGGAATGGAGGCACCTGCACCAGGGATGCGAAGTCCTACCACTGCGACTGCCGCCCAGGATTCAAGGGCCGGTTCTGCGAGCTGGGTGAGTGCCATGTTGCTGCTGGAGGGCCGAGCTCCCTCCTGCAGGCAGATGGCATGTGCCCAGCGTGGCAGCTGTCCCAGCCACAGGTCCCCCAGGGCGCAGGTCACCGAGCACACCTTGTCAGCACCTGGCTCCTCCTGGCTGAGGGGACTCCCACCATGCCCAGGCCCCACTAGAGAAGGCTGTGCTGTGCCGACAGCAGAGAGAGGAGATGGGCTCTGCTCTTGCCAGTTTGGGCAGATCCGGGAGTGCAGGTCTGCTCCCTGCTTCTGGCTGAGCCCTCTGCCTCCGCCAGGCAGCCTGGCAAGCCAGGCTCCTGCCCTGCCCATGTAGTTATCTGGGTACCGCAGGGCTGGGGGCTCCTCTCCTGGTGGGTCAGCTCTGTTGAGCCCAGCCCTCCAGGACAGCAGAGGGGAAGCCAGGGGGGCCTCACTGGCCCCCTGCCACAGGGCACAGGCAGGCAGGGCCAGAGACGGGCTTGTTGATAGCTCCCCTCTCCTGTTCCCCAAGCAGCCTGCAAGAAGGTGCCACACTCGTGCACGCGGCTGTACTCGGAAACCAAGTCATTCCCCGTGTGGGAAGGAGGCACCTGCCACTACCTGTGAGTACTGCCTGCGGGTTGTGCTCCTCCCTTCCCCTTGTGCTCAGAGCTGGGGATGTCTCCCTGCAGCTCGGCTCTGGGGAAGGGAGGGTGAGCACGAGGCCGTCTCAGACCCTGGCTAGCAGCTGCCAGGTGGCTGCAGCTGCCCCCTCCCCAGCGCAGGCTGAGCAGCCTTGTCTGCCCTTGAGCCCCTGGGACTGCCCCGCCAGCTATGTTTCAGGGCAGGATGCTGCTGAAATGACAGCCCCGTAGCAGTGTTACCCACCTACATGGCAGCGACATTGGATTTGGTGTGTGTGACCCCCCCCCCCCCAAGCAGAAGCCGACCCCCCCCCCCGCGCGTGCCCTCAAAAACCCCCCCCCCCCCAAGCAGCAGCAGATCCCCTGCCCGCTGCCTGCCATCCCAGCTCCTAGCTGCCCCTCCATCTGCAAGCAGAGGGCTGGGGCCAGCCCTGCTGCAATGCCAGGGCATGGAGGCCTCTGCTCTGTCCCCCACCCCACTCCGCCTTCCTGCGATAGAGGCACAAGGGCCTGGCTGTGTGGGGTCAGCCCTCAGGCATAGCAAGCTCAGCCCTGTTCCTACCAAGGCCAGCTACCGCAGCCTGGAAGGAAACGGGGGAGACCTCCAGACTCCCCCCTCGCACTTGCAATAGCAGATCTGTCCCTGTTATTCCCTACAACTTGCCCCTCTGCTGTGTGTGCAGGTATAGGAGAGTCTACAAGGTATACCAGGACGTCTGCTACAAGGAGAGCTGCAAGAGCACCGGTTCCGAGAAGAGAACCAGCAGGTACAGCTAAACAGCAGCATGCTGAGCACGCCAGCCTTCCTGTGGCCTAGGACTGGAGGATGCAGCCAGCTGGTGTCACCCAGGACGTGTGGGGGTACCCAGGCTGGGGTGGGCTGGGAGAGGGGTGCAGGCACCCCATGCAGAACAGAGTGCAAGGAGCACGTGACTGAGGCTCAGACGTCAGCTCTGCATGCCCTCTTTGTGAGCAACGGCTGAGGGGCTGCAGGGCTGATGGTGCTCTCCTCCCTTCTCTTTCAGAAAACCAAGCAACAGTCACACACTGAAGAAGCCATAGAGTAAGTACCCGCTCCAGGCCCTCCTCAGCCATGGGCAGGGGCAGCTCCTGCCTGTGGCTGCCTGCACCCCTGCACAGGGAGTCAGGGAGGAGAAGAGCGGAGGCCACAGCCCAGCCCAGGCTCACGCTGCCACATCAAGGGGGTGCGAGGGCTCTCCAGCTGCTGCGCTGGTCAGGCTTGGGCACGCAGCTGAGGACTTCTAGTTGTGGCTGGGGTGGAGGAGCAGAAGGCAATGCTCTGCTCCCCGGCGGCTCTGCAGCCCCACGAACAAGATTCCTGCACAGAAAGGGCCTGGGTGCTGCCAGCCCGTGCAAAGCAAAGGCTGCAGCCCTGGAGGGGGCAGGTCCCCTTCTCCCAGCCTGAGACAGGCACACAGGGTGGGAAGAGGCAGCTGCGGGGCTTTTAGGGGACTCTGCACACTGGCTCATTCTCCTCCTGCTCCTTCACAGGGTTCAAAGCAGCAGAAGCTTCATCTTTCCACATCTAAGGGCTTTTGAAACACCAGGAAGATCAGATCTGCTCACTGAGTTGAACACAGCGGGGGAACCTTTCTGCCTGCCATCAGCCCCTCCCTCTCCTCCAGCCCGTTCAGGACACGCAGCTGGATTGGCACGCCGAGCAGCACTCCCTTCCCTCCGCAGGACCAGCACTGCCTTCACTCTGGCTTGCCTTGCTCCGGTCACCTCTCTGCCCCCAGGGAGCTGAGCGCCAGTGTACTGCAGCGGCTGGGCGGGCGGCCCTACTGCAGCGGCTGGCTGGCTGCCCCCCAAGGGGACCAGCCCCACTCGGCCCCCCAGCCGCTCTGCATGAGCCACGGGCTCCCGGCTCTGCTCAGGCATCGGTGGGGCTGATCCCAGCTTCCTGCCAACAGCATCTGCACCAACCTGTTTTCATAATCCAAGGTTATAAATTACCTATAACCCCCAAATAAAACAGTTTAATGCAGACCAAAAAGCCTTAGCTATGACCTGAAATGTGGCCCATGAAAATCTAGTTGGAGGAGTCCATCCCTATGTAGAAAAGTTAGAAATGGTGAGCAGCTCCCCCAGGCAGCAAGGTGAGTGCGGGCACTGGAGGCATGTCCCGGTCTCCTCCGCTTTAGCGGGGGAAATTGAGGCAGCTTCTACTGTCTGCCTTTTTTCTTTGTGTTGTAAACAATCCCTGGTTTTAACCACATTTCCAGCTCAGAAAGCAACAGAGCACCTAGAAAGAATTTTAAAAGTGATCTGTAGGGTGAATTTTGTCAGCCAAGGCATAACACCATGCTTGTTCCGATGCTAATCGCCTCCAAGCGCAGGGCACAGTACGGGCTTGGTGACAAAGCAAGCTCCACGTGCCATCCCCCTGAGTTGCTCACAGCGTTTGCGTTCCTCATGGCACCAGCCAGTGCTGTGATGCCACCGCTGTGTTGTTGGCGGAGGAGAGGACCAGCGTGCAAGGCCCTGCAGTGGCCATCCCACCAGCTGTGGCAGAGCAATCAAGGAAAAAGCGTAGCTTAGAAATGTTCCTAGTTTTTGTGAGTTTGTATGACAACACTAGTTAAACATAGATTTGTGTATTAATGTACACAGTGTATATTATAAATTAATACATACCAGAGATATATCGTAGTTTTGGTATAGAGTGTTATCTCCCGAGCAGCGTGGGGGGTATCCTGGCGGGGCAGCCCTCCCCTCCCATGAGCACTGCAGGACACTGCTGTTCAGCCACGCGTGTTGAGCTGCAGCCCAGAAGATGCTCTCGGAGCGGAACAGGCCCATGAGTTTTGGCACTCCTGGCACCACCCTCTCCCTCCCGGCAGCAGTGTAAGAGCGCTCGGCCCGGAGGAGCGGCTGCCAAGGCATCTGGCAGCAGCCTGGGAGCGGCAGGGACAATGTGATGCTCCCCTCCTGCACTGACTCTAGCTCTGCTCCCAGAGGAGAATCGGAGTCAGAGATGGACATGCCTCATTTTCCTCCAAGGCTGCCTGATCCTGCTCCAGCCTCCCTGCTGCAAGGTGAGCACAGAAGTCCTGCCTCCCCAGGGCATGAGAAGAAGCCAACCCTTGCCTGGAAGAGCAGGGCGAGGGGAAAGCCAGAAGAGCCTCTGCTATCCACGAGGGAGGGGAGGTTTTGGAGCTGTGGTCAGAAAGTGCTACATCCCTGCCTTGTCAGCCACAAGACCAGCGCCGACATGGGCTGTGAAGGTGGAGGCGGCCCCGCCCTGGGACGGTCCTGTTTCAGCACAGCCCCTGGGCCCCGCCAGCGCTGCCACAGGGCCTGTCCATGCTCACAGCATAGCCCCGCTGTGAGCCGGCACAGCAGCCTGCCTCCTCCTGCCCCACAGCCAGCACAATATGTAATGCAGCCAGAAGGTTTTAACCTAGCCTTGGAAATAAATTAGTTATTTTGGTTTGATTTTTTTTTTTAAATAAAAACACTTTATGGAAACTGGGTATTTTTTAAAGTAGTTGGTCAATGAGGAGGAAAGAGGGCTATTGTTGTATTCCGATATATGGGATTTATTGCTGCCCCTCAGCAGGGTCCTGCACATGAAGCCCTGCAGCCAGAAAGACAGCAGGTCCTGCAGCCAGAAAGACAGCAGGTCCTGCAGCCACCACAGCTCGTGCCTGTGTGGGGTGGGGGCCCAGGGCACCCATGAGTGCAGTGGGGCCAGGGACTGCACCAGCATGGGGAGAGCTCGGGCACCTGGGAGCCTCACCTCTTTACTCCTGGGCTGTTTTACTTCCTTCACTGTCCAAGTCTTCATTTTCCTCTGCATATAGTGCATCCCTGTCCTCTTCTTCCTCCTCCTCTGCTTCTTCCTCCTCTCGAGCCAGCAGCTTCTTGAAGACCTCGTACTCCTCTGGGGTGGCGTGGGCCAGGCTGGCCAGGAAGTCTTTTTCCGGAAGCTGAAGGATGTCCTTCAGTTTCGGGTTACCGGTTTGGGTCTGGCCTTTGTACGGAGTTTGGTAGAGCCCCCGGCGCTCCAGGAAGATGTGCCGGTTCCTGAGCTCGGCAAAGGGCATTCGGAAAAGACGGGCCTTCACCATCTCCTTCTGCCGGAGCCCCATCCTGAAGTACACGTACTGCGGGCGGGACAGGGTGTTTCACGCACAGCCCCGGCCCCACACTGCGCTCCCGGCCCTGGGGCGGGTACCCGCCCCGCAGGAGACG